TTGTCTGAGCGTCTGGCAGCTCCGCTGGTATCATAATCCTCTGTTTACCACTGAAAGCTGGGCACTGTGTAGTTAAAAATGTGTAAGATGAAGGTCAGAGTCTTGGAGGAGACAGATTTGCTCTGAAAGTGAAGATTGAAAGGCAAATGGGAAACCATTTAGGTTTGTTTCTCTCAGGTTTGATCACCCAATTCGTTAGTAAATTCCATCTTACAGTAATTAAATGGTCGTACAGCTATTTATAAAACTTTGCCCCCCATAATTTTACAGGAAAAACAGCATTGATGTCATGAACCTGAAAATCTCTGACTTGTCTTTTATCGTTTTAATAAAAAAACAACTTTCACAACACATATTTTGATACATAATTTCTTCAGAAGCAACTATTGTTTAATTGTGGATATGACTTTATGTACATTTCAGTTTTTAGGTGAAATGTGGGGATGTCCTTATCTCACCAATGGCTTTCCTAAGGTAACTTTCTTCCATAGATAATTTACTCTCTTTATACTAATTTTTAGTAATACCCCTAACAAACCGTTTGCCATACTCTCTAACTCATTGTATGCTTGACTCTCTATGTGCTGAAATAAATTGGTATTATGTCTGACTGCTAGTTTATTTATAAACTTCTAGTCTCAGTTTATTTTTAGAGTGATGAAAATGTTATAGAATTAGGTAGTGGTGATGCCTCCACAACCTTGTGAATATACTAAAAAATCTCTGAATTTTACACCACAAAATTGTGAACTTTATGGTATATAAATTATTTTTTAAAAAACCAATTACTTCATTTTTTGTTTAAAAGTGGCAGGTTGGAGCATCTGGGTGGCTCTGCGGGTTGAGTGTCTGACTCTTGATTTTGGTTCAGGTCATGATCTAAAGTATTGAGATCAAGACCCATGAGTGGCTCTGTGCTTAGCAGGGAGTGCATTTAAGATTCTCTCTCTCCCAGAGGGCACAGATTGCACGGAGCACTGGGTGTGGTACAAAAAACAATGAATACTGTTACACTGAAGAGAAATAAAAAATTAAAAATAAATAAAAATAAAAATATCAGAAATTTGAAAAAAAAAAAAAAAGATTCTCTCCCTCTTGCTCTGCCCCTCCCCTTGTTTGCCTGTGTACTCTCTCCCCCTCTCTCTTTAAAATGAATACATCTTTACAAAAAAGTAATATGTTGGGGGTGCCGGACTGGCTCAGCTGGTGAAGCATGGGAGTCTTAAACTTGGGGTTGTGGATTTGAGTTCCATGTTGGGTGTAGACATTATTTAAAAATAAAATCTTTAGGGGCGCCTGGGTGGCTCAGTGGGTTAAGCCTCTGCCTTCAGCTCAGGTCATGGTCTCAGGGTTCTGGGATTGAATCCTTCATTGGCCTCTCTGATAAGCGGGGAGCCTGCTTCCCCCTCTCTCTCTGCCTGCCTCTCTGCCTACATGTGATTTCTGTCAAATAAATAAATAAAATCTTTCAAAAAATAAAATAAAATCTTTAAAAATGTATTTTAAAAAGCAGCAGATTAACTACACATGCTTATTTTATCTATTCTCCCTTCCAAAAAATTATTAAAATTATAGCAGTAAAAAGTATATTTTAAAAAAGTAAAGAACTAAATATTTTATTCCAGAGGGGCAGTAGAGAATTTTTTTCAAGGCTTTAGCCCCCCAGGAAAAGGAGACACTAAAAAGTGAGAGATCATAACACAGTTTTGGGATATAGAGAGTGGGTAGAGGATGGTAAGTGATTTGGCAGAGTTGGGGAAATTCCAATTTAAGTGCTTTCAAGGCTGATGTTCAAAAAAAGCAGGCCAAAATATGTGCCACTAGGCATGGCAGGAAGCAGGACAAAGGCCTGGTGAAGCCAACATTCCTAATGGATTTCAAGCTTCACTGCACCAACTTGGTCTGGTCCCTGGAAGTTTATTATTGAGAAATTTCAAAACTCAGGATCTGTGGAGAGCACAGGAGAGATGGGCAGAGCTTGGGAAAGGGACACATCTACACAGTCATGTGGTCTCTTGTCTCTCCTGATCACAGAATCAGTAGCAAGATGTTCAAACTCCCATACCTTTCCTACTCCTTCCAGTCTGGAAAGCAGATTACTCTTCCCTGAAGAAACTGAATGACCCTAGGGGAAAATCTTCCAGCCATTTAGACATTGAGCTCTGGACAGTATGGCTGTCCATCCCATCAGCAAGCCCTGTGCTTGTACTCAGAGCATCCAGTCACCTCTTGAATGCCTAACAGACAGAAATGGACAGTAAAAGATCACCAGACAAAGGAAAAGGCTTTCAACAAGAAGGAGAGAGATGAAAACAAAAGAAGGATGAAGGAAACTGAGGTAAGCTCACTAACTCGATTCAAGGAACAAAGCTAACAAAGAAGCAAACAAAGAAAACAAGTAAGAAAGGAACCTCCACACAGTATAATTACTATTGTCTTAGAGTTCAGAGAAAACACTATGTGCTTTGAAAAAAGGAAAATCAGCAAATAAGAATGAGGTCTTAGAATTTAAGAATCTGATTCCAAAAGAAAATATAAAATTCAATAGGAGGTATTTGGTGAATAAAATAAGAAAATGTCATAAAAGGCAGAACTAAAAATCAAAGAATAGGCAGTTTCCTAGAGAAAAGAATGAGGAACAATTTAGAAGACCAATTTAGTTTTCTGTCTTTACTTTTCAATAGCCAACTAATAAAAGTTTTCAGACAGAAGCAAGAAAATGAGAGGGAATAAATTAATAAAAAAACACAGAAAGTACAGGATAGAGTGTTATAATTTTCCAAAGGATAATGATCCACCAAATGCAGATGAAAAAAGACTGACATTGAAAGAATGGGGGAGTTTTAGCACAACTGGGATAAAATAAGATCTTGAACATTTCCAGAGATTTTCAAAAAAATCAGAAAAGAATGGAAATCTGAAAGGTCTAAAACTTCTCAACAACAGCACTAGAGGAAAAAAAAAAATTACAGAAAAACAATAAAGCCAGAGTTCTGGCTCTTATTTTCAACCTAGAATTCTATACCCAGACAAACAAGCAACCAAGTAGTGAGAATAGAATAAAGCAGTTTTCAGGCATTCAAGCACTTAAAAAGATATACAAATAGAGATGATAGAGATAGAGATAGAGACAGAGATAGAGATAGAAATAGAGATAGATAGAGATATAGAATTAGAGATATATCGTGTGTGTGTGTGTGTGTGTGTGTGTGTGTGTGTGTGTCTCCTTTCTGATGAAGATTAACTAGAAGATGTGCTTCAGAAAAATGAGGGAAAAAACAAAAAATGAGAATGACATGGGATCCAGGGCACAGGTGATCCTTTACAGCAAAGCAATGAAAGGAAGCCCCCACCTGCACTGGCTTTGAGAGCAACCAGTCTCAAAACAGAACATAAGAACAAAGAATTACAGAAGACAATAGATGGAAATGATTATTTGATATATTAGAATGCTTGAGAAAATTATTGGAATCTGTTGGAATATTTGGAAAAAAATGAGTGACACATAAATAAAAAACTAAGCAAATTTAAATAAACAAATGAAAGCAAAAACAGGACAAGTATTAACTCCAGGAAAAACAAAGTTGTAAAGAGAAAGAAAAAAATCACAGTTGATCAGAAGTTTCTGTAGGAAATATTTACAATTTATAGGAATATAGATACTGAGATAACTACATTCAGTGGATGAAGGAGACAAGAGAGCAAAGAGGAGAGAGTAAGAAAACCAAATCCTCATCAAGAAGCCAAAAACCTTCAATAAACAAGTACATAAATGGCTGTTTATGGAATTATTTAGCAATGTGGAAATAAATACAGAAAAAATAGCTTAGGGCATCTGGGTGGCTCAGTGGGTTAAAGCCTCTGCCTTCTGCTCAGGTCATGATCCTAGGGTCCTGGGATCGAGCCCCGCATCGGGCTCTCTGCTCAGCAGGGAGCCTGCTTCCCCCTCTCTCTCTGCCTGCCTCTCTGCCTACTTGTGATCTCTGTCTGTCAAATAAATAAATAAAATCTTAAAAAAAAAAAAAAGAAAAAATAGCTTTAAAAAAGTTAAGTGTGGTTCCCTTTGGTGAGTGGGATTATGGAATAGGGTGAGGTAGAAAAAGGGCTATTGTTTTTCAACATAAGCCTTTTGAAATGGTGCATAGTTGACACACAAGTCTTTTAATACCATTGTAAATAACTTCATGCAGGTATTATTTTGATAAATACAAAAACTAATTGAAGTAGTACTTACAGGGACTATGGTGTATTAGTTTGCTAGGGCAGCAGTAACAAAATACCACAAATGGTGGCCTAAGTAACAGAAATGTATTTTCTCACAGTTCTCGAGGCTAGGATCTGAGATCAAGGTGTCAGCAGGAGTGGTTTCTTCTGAGGCCTGTGAGAGGAGATCTGTACCAAATCTCTCTCTGTGACTTATAGATGACTGTCTTCCCCCCATGTCTTCTTATTGTTTCCCTTCCATGTGCATCTCCATGTCCACATGTGTGGGCACTGGATGCAGGGTGTGTGGTTTGTTGGTAGGGTGAGCTGGTATGATGGTTTGGTTGGATCTGGCATATGGTTTGGTGTGAGGAGTTGGTGTGGAGTGTGCCTTGGTAAGGATTTCACATGGAGTGGATTATGTGGGATGTGGAAGGTAGGGGACTGAAATATGTGGATGTGTGTAAAGATATAGCGTCAGTGTGTGTGTGTGTGTGTGTGTGTGTGTATGGTATGGCTGTAGCCTAGCTTAGCTTTTGTTTAGATTTTCCTTTGCCCTTTGTTTTAGTCTTTGTTTTTGTCTTTGTTTGGCCTTTGTTTTGTCTTTGTTTCACTCTTTGTTTAAACTTTCTTTGGCTTTTGTTTGGTCTTTCTTTAGCCTTTTGTTTAAACTTTGTGTGGCTTTTTTGTAGTCTTTGTGTGGCTTTTGTTTTTAAGTGGATCTTGGCTGAGAACCCATCAAAAATACCTTTTGTAATGAAAAACCCGGATATATAATCTCTCCCTATATATTCTGCATGCATTGAGGTAGCCTCAACTACCCCAGGGACCTGGCACAGATGTGGAGCCTGTTTCACACAACTGTTACTTGAAGGTAAGGGAATCCCATAGGTTTTCATCTAACTTCAGGTTGTCCTTCATCTTCAAGTGGCAACTGCATATTTTTGTGGGGACCATTTCATTATATTCCAGGGGGAACTTGCCGTAATAGTAGTCAAGATTGGGATAACATAAAATGATAGAGAAAACAAGAGCAGAGGACACCAACGTTATTCTAATGTGAGCAGAGGGCTCCTCCTGGAGTGTTCCACCTAATGTTTGGAAATTGTCTGAGCCTGGGGAGAGGCTCCAAACCCACACTCAGATCCTTCCAGGTTTAAAGCCTCATGTTTCTGGAGCTAGATTATTGGAGCTATTGGCTTCTTCTTTTTCTATTTCTTCTTTTATTATTTGTCATGATTTGAAAATGAGTTTTTTCTTCTTATCTAGGAACAACTTCCCTCATGCAGCTGGGTTTATCTGTGGGGTATACTAATGGAACAAGAAAGCCCAAATCTTGTAAGAATTTTGCTCACTGTAGATTAGCAACCTTAGATGAAAAGATGTTAATGCTTTGTCTTGTGCAGAATTTCTTAGAAACCAGAGTTTTCCAGTGTTATAGTGGGTGGAACAAGGAAAGAAAACATTATATGTCAAGGGAATAAAGCAATGAACTTGCCAAAAATATTAGGAGAAAAATAGGGAAAATTATTTTTACTGTTTTGTGAATGAAACAGGAAGAAAAAAGCAGATTGCTGTTAGCTGTATAGCTATGCTATTTTATGTTTATTTGGATTAAAAGGACAATGCCTTAGTGGATTTTAAAAACTGTTTCAGGGGCATCTGGCCGGCTCAGTCAGTAGAGCATGCAACACCTATTCTCAGGGTTGTGAGTTCAGACCCCACATTGGGTGTGGAACCTACTGAATAAAAAAATGTTTCAGGTTTGCAGAAAAATTGGAAACTATACAAAAATTCCAGATGTACTCAGATCACTGAAATGTTGACATTTTGCCACATTTGCTTTATCATTCTCTTTCTTTGTATGTACATATACATATTATTTTTTCTGAGCCATTTATTAATTTTCTGATATGATCAAAATCAGAAAACAAACATTAAGAAAATACTATTATCTAATCCACAAAAATCTGCTTTTATCCACTGCTCCAGGTGTCAGTCCCAGATCATGCATCACTTTGATTACCATGTGTCTTTAGTCTTTACCTGAGATGGGCATTCTCTTTTACGATCTTAACAAGTTAGAAGAGCATAGGCCTATTATTTTGTTAAATGTCCCTTGTTAAAAAAAGGAAACAAAATAGGATTGGGAGGGAGACAAACCACAAGAGACTCTTAATCTCACAAAACAAACTGAGGGTTGCAAGGGGGTGGAGGGGTAGGGATAGGGTGGCTGGGTGATGGACATTGGGGAGGGTGCTATGGTGAGAGCTGTGAAATGTGTAAGCCTCATGATTCGCAGACCTGTACCCCTGGGGCGAATACTACATTATATGTTAATAAAAATAAGTAAACAAACAAATAAATAAATAAAATTTTAAAACTAAATAAATAATAAATGTCCCCTGTTTTGGGTTTGGTCTAATGTCTTCTCATGATTAAGTCCAGATTATGCAGTTTTGGAAGGAATATGCTTGCATTTCAGATCATACATCTCCAAATTCATACTTGAATCTGACCGCTTACTTTTTTTTTTTAAAGGATTTTATTTATTTATTTGAAAGAGAAAGAGAGAGAGAGAGACAGCATGCAGTGGGGAGAGGGAGAAGCAGACTCCCTGCTGAGCAGGGAGCCCGATGCAGGGCTCGATCCCAGCACCCTGGATCATGACCTGAGCTGAAGGCAGATGCTTAACTGACTGAGCCACCCAGGCACCCCTGATTGTACAGACTGTTAATTTGAAGTCTGGTTTCTTTAATGGTAACTAGAATTTTAAATGAGTACCTAAAATCTTACAAGAAAATACAAAAAAATTTTAAATCAGAGCTTTTACAGGTAATTCCCAAGTATTCACCCAAAGTGTGTAAGTCCTGCCCTGTATTAAAAAGGATAATTGCAACAATATGTACCAGAACTTGATAGTCATATAGTAAAGTATTTAACATAGATTCTTTGCATGTGTTATGTTCATATCTACTGCTTTATGAGTGTTCATTTCATGAATGTGATCATTCCTTTCTAAGCAAAACCACCTGCTGAAAACAGATACTGTTCACCAGAGTGGTCCTGGATGGCCACTCCAGGCTCCCTGGCAACCATTAGCATGCTGGCAGGGTGCTGAGAAAAGAAAGAACTTCCATTTTGTTTGTAAGTTAGAAAACTTCTGTTTGTAGGTGGCTGGCAGTTTTATTGTTCTGAAGATAGAGACCAACTTCCTAGCAGACTTCCTTTGTTTGGGGAAAGGTATTAAAGATTTTTAGGATTTCCAAATATAAAGCATCCATTCCCCCCCCCCCAAAAGGAAATGCCATAGTCATTATAAATATAAATGTAGGGCAGTTCATTAACATATATAATCTTCGTAGTTATATAATTTTGTAGTTATATAATCTTTGTAGTCAAGTAAATGTATTATGGCTTTAATGGGACTGCTCCCAGGATGAGGTAGATAAATATTTTCTAAATATGGAATTATATTAGAAATTTGGAGTTCTGCACATGCTACAATTTAATGTTGAGAAACTCAGCTTTTGGGAAAATGAACATTAGTTATTTTGATTGCCTTATCTGGTCCACAGAGATCACCTTGGAGTTTGAGAAAGAGACTTTTACTTAAAGGATTGTATGTTCCCATGATGAACCATCCTGGATTGGGAAATGAGGGCCTCTTTTTGTCATTCAGTCAAAAGAATTAGGGGCCAGGACATGGAAGGTTTGCAAGGCCAGAAGTCTTGTGGATGGGAATTGAGCTTTCCACAACCTAGAAATCTGCTGGGCTGGCTGGGACCGTAGGATTAGGTTCCATTGTGTGGGCTCCAAAAGTGACATCTTTTATTGGCTTCCCAGTCCTCTCTGGTTTCGGTTGCTCTGTTACCTCTAGTGCATTAGGTAAAACCTGGTGGTGTTAACTGTGCTCTGGGTGGTTAAAAGACCAATCTGGGTTTTTTTGTTTGTTTTTAATTTTTAATTTTATTTAATTAAAAAATTTTTTTTATTAACATATAATATTTGCCCCAGGGGTACAGGTCTGTGAATCATCAGGCTTACACATTTCACAGCACTCACCGTAGCACATACCCTCCCCAATGTCCATAACCCAGCCACCCTATACCTATCCTCCCACCCCCCAGCAACAATGTGGATGGAACTAGAAGGTATCATGCTAAGCGAAATAAGTCAATCAGAGAAAGACAATTATCATATGATCTCTCTGATATGAGGAATTTGAGAGGGAGGATGGGAGGTTGTGGGAGGTAGGGAGGGAATAAATGAAGCAATTTGGGATTGGGAGGGAGACAAACCATAAGAGACTCTTAATCTCACAAAAGACCAATCTGTTTTTAAAATGTACTCAGGATTTTGTTTTCATTCATGCATGATGAGGGCAGCAGATCGAAAGATGATTGCCATTGTTACTCACAGTTCCCAAAAGAGGATTCATGCCTGACTATGCAGGAAGTACCAGTGTTGATCAGGAGTCAGAGGGAATGGGGGGAAAGCATGGACAAGAACTTTATTGCGTTTTCTTGTTTTTGTTTTTGTTTTTTCAGGAAGGACTGGGTGAAGTGAGGTAAACAGACTAGGTGAATTTAGGATGAGCTAGTTTGAATAATTTCAGTGGGTTTTGGTATGTGAAGGCTGTCCTGAGTTGTCTGGTTCCTGGCCTTAGGGTGATTAGGACAGAGGACTGTTGGCTTGATCTGTGGGACCTTGATAAAAAGGGTTAATTGGCAAGTGTAGGCTCTGGATTGGTTGGTTTGCATGTGAAAGTCACACTCTTAGGGGAGTCCTTTACTTCCTAGGAATTAGCTACCCTGGGGAGGCACAATGTTTCCAGGATCAATAAGTGCTAGGGTATCAAGAACACAGAAAAGAAAATATAGTTCATACACAGCAGCCACATTTGGAGTGAATGTGCATGGGGCAAGTAGGGCAGCATTCAGACTCTGAAGCAATAGCTTTTAAGACCCAGGACATCTGATGCAGACAGGTTCATGGAATGTGTATCTATTTCTTATGCCAGTTCAAAAATTAATTATGAAGATAGATGGGTTTTCAGTGATGCACAGCAGTGAGAATATTCATTTTATATGGTTGTGTAACAAATTATTACAGACTGAGTGTGTTAAAAAACCATGCCCGTTTATTAGCAACAGTTTTGTAAATTAATTATCCAGTAGGATTGGTACTCTGCTTAGGGTCTCACAAGGCAGAAATAAAAGTGTTGGCTAGCTAGGCTCTTAGCTAGAGGCTCTGGGGCAGAATCTATACCCAAGCTCATTCTAGGTGTTGACAGAATTCACTTCCACATGGCTCAGGTCCCTGGGCCCCTCATTTTCAGGTCAGCAGTGGTGGGTTGAACTCTTCTCATGCTTCAACTATCTCTGACCTCTTCCTTTGTCATATTTCTCTGATTTCAGCCAGAGAAAATTCTTGGCTTTTAAGGACTCATTTGATTAGATTGGGCCCACCTAAATAATTCAGGATAATCTCCCTATTTTAAGGAATATCCGCAAAGTTTCTTGCCATGTAAGATTATGTAATTCAAAGTGTCATCAACTAGGATTTGGAAATTGCTTGGGAGGGCCACGTTGCCTACCCCAGAGGGTTTATGATTAAATGTTGAGCACTTGGTTAAGAAGGTATTTGCAAGAATCTCCATTATAAAGTTACAATTTTTAAAAAATGTTTACTTATTTATTTTAGAGATAGAGAGATACTTGGTGGGGGGAGGAGCAGAGAAAGAGGGATAAGCAGATTCCATGCTGAGCACAGAGCCCAATGCGAGGCTTGATCCCAGGACCTCGAGATCATGACCTGAGTTGAAATCAAGAGTCAGATGCTTAATCGACTAAGCCACCCAGGCGCCCTGTTTTTAATTAATAAATATTTATTTCCCTGATGACATCAGATATATTATTTGCAAATATCTTCTCCCAATTGATTTCATTTTGTTGATGGTTTCCTTTGCTGTGCAAAAGCTTTTATTTCACTCTAATCCCAATAGTTTATTTTTGCAGTTTATTTTTAAAAATTAATTTAAATTCAAAAGGAACATGCTCATCTGATTTGACAGAGAAATATTACAATAATTTTTACAGTTAGCAATACAGAGTTGTCAATTACATCATTATTACTACAATTAGTTATCACCTAAGATAAATTATCAACTAAGACAACTGTGATATTGTGATTTATAAGAAATACATATATTTGGTCATTCACACGACCAAAACATATTTCTGTTGTGTGTTCGGTTTTTGTCTATGGTTTCTAGTTCCTAAAACCTTTGAAGTTTCCTACAAGGGCATTAAAGTATCTTGTGTTGTGATAATTAGATGAGCTTGGAAATGCCTTAGATATATGAGGATGGGGGCAGGGTGCCAGGAGAACCAATCATGTGTTAGAGAGATGGAAATCTCAGTCCTGCTCCCTGGCCTCTGGGGAGGGGAGAGCAGTTGAAGGTTGAATTGACCAATGGCCTGTGACTTAGTCAATCATGATTGTGTAATGAAACCTCTATAAAACCCCAAAGGTTTGGAGAACTTCTGGGCTGGGGAATGCTTGGAGATGCGGGGACAACATGTGCCTGGAGAGGACATGGAAGCTGCTCCTCCTTTCCCCAAACCTCATCCACTGTATCTCCTCACCTGGCTGTTGATAGTAATAAATGTTTCCCCCAGTTCTGTGAGGCACTCTAGTAAATTAAGGGAACCTAAGGGTGGGCGGGGGTGAGGTGGAGGTTGTTAAAACCTCCAAGCTGTAGCGCATTGGTCAGAAGCATGAGTAACAGCCCGGGGTTTGCCACTGGCCTAGAGTCTGAAGTGGGGGGTTGGGGGGGGAGGCAGTCTTGTCGGATGGAATTCTTAACCTGTGGAATCTGATGCTATTTTCAGGTAGATAGCGTCAGAACTGAGTTGAATTCTCTGACACCCTGCTGATGTCCCAGAATTGCTTGGTGCTGTGTGCATGATGGGGGGACATGTCCCTCCCCCACAACATTGGGATTGGGTATAGGAACCTTAAAAGAACAACCACTCTGAATGATAGGTTTCTTTTGCAGGTTATTTTGTATCTAGAAGACCTCTTTATTCCTCCCAAGATCTGATATATAGTAAGAAAGAAGGGACAAATGGTTATAGATGGCCACAAATCTCCATACTGCCCAGGAAAACAAGATTGATATTGTGAAGTTCTCAATTTAATGCCTTATCAAATTGGATTCCTTCCTCGAGTTTTTAATGTAAAAAACACATCTCTCTTCCAGATCTCCACGGGAGGAGGATATTCCAACTCCTTTCTTGAGATGCTTTACTTAATTGCTATGATTTGCGTTTTTAAAGCCAGACTCCAAAATTTCATTTATTTTAGGACTTCCATTCGTTAGTGTTATAAGCAAAAATCAGATTTGTAGACATCAGATTTACTAGGAGAAGTGATTGAAGACTGTTTATTTAATGACAGTGAATTACCTGGACATATAGCATTCTCTATAATGATAAATTAAGCTTGCATACAATTTTGTTATTATATTCTCTTTCTAGTCCCCAAATGACAGGTAATATCTTAATTAAACGTCATAATCCTTCCTAGGATGGTGAAAGTGAATCTCTGTGTATAATACTTTTGGATTAACTACAACTACAAAAATGCTAAATTAACCAGAACACATTCTACCCCTTCACTTTTAGGAAAAAAGGAGCAAATGATACCAAGACAAGCTCATAACAGAGATCTAATCACCAAATGTGTACGGATGAAAATACAGGTACAAATGAATTTCTTGTACTCTTTTGGATCTGCATCTAAATTACTGTATAATGATTACTAGTATTTAAAATGTCAAAGTAGAATGCAGAATCAGCAAAAGACTGAGCAATCAAATTTTCAATAAGAGTTAAACATTTTAGAAAAACTTATTCCAGGTGTTTCACAGTATCCTAGGTTTTGGGAGGTAGAAATATGGGGGAAAAAAATGTCTCTGCATGAGAGGGATAATGACCTCAGCCACCACTTATCCACTTTTGTCAAACTCATGCACTATGAACGCATGGGGGAAGAGCCATTCCGTGAAAGAGAGACTTCCTTCCCCTGTATCTTCAAACCCTACTCAGGAGATTCCTTCTATTTCTTTGTTTCAACTGAACCTAGACAGTCTTCTGAGAACAAGCTTCATCTGTCAGCCTGTCAAATGGGGAATATTTACACTCCAAGTGGCTCCAGAGTTCAGTGGACCAGTGTCCTCCCCATTGCCACTGTCAGGTCACTACTCCTTCCCTCTCTGGCTAGTCTTCTGTACTTTGAAACTTGTGCTTCATTCCTTGTGCCGGTCTTCACCTGACTTCTAGTCATTATCTTCTTCACTGATGCTTCTGTGGTCAGCCCCCTACCCCCTGCCCTCCCACCTCCATCCATCAGCATACATGACTTTATGTCCGTATAAATGAACTATTTATCCCTCTAGTGAATTACCCACTCTTCCTCATCCATCCATTGCATGCTATGGAACTTGGCAGTTCTTGAAACTACTCCATTTCTGAATCCAATGGTGCAAACATCTAGCATTCATTCACAACCCTCCTTTCCTTCAACTTGCTTTGTTAAGTACTCCACCACAACTATTCTTCTTCTAGGTACTTGAGTTGACTTTCCCTTCCATTTCTCCATCAATTTATGAATCTGTTCATCAATTGTTCCTTTCTACCCATTTTCTTTCTATTACTTATAGATTCTGGAATCCATCTTTTCAATTATTTTCCTGCAAATTATCTCCCAACCCTAGATGAACCATATGTCTTCTCCCGGTATGCACCCTGGCTGTTGAGAACAACTGGGGAAACCACTACACATTAATGGTCAGTGACCCAACCCAGGTCATCATTACTACTTGGCAGCCTGGTCTTCAAATGTTTACAAAATCTCTTTTATTCTTTTCAAATGTTCAACTTTGTCATTATCAGGTACATTTGCTTCCCATTTTACTAGAAAAATGGAATCCATTAGATGGAAACTTCATGCAGTCAACTGTTTTCCCTCTTCCAACAAAGGCTAACCCTTTGACATGTGCTCCGTATTACATCTCCTCAGGGTTTTCTCAGGCATACTAATTATTTTCTCTCTTATTTTATTTCAGTCTCTTTCTCTCAGCACTTATGCTTCTGATCAGTCTCATTATAACAAAGGAGTCAAATCAAGAAGCCAGCCAATTCTCCCCCACCCCCAACAACAACAACAACAAAAGTCTGGAAAACACATACTCCTCTAGCTACTACTGCTCTCCTGCCCTTAGTTCTCAGATCTCTGGCCTGAGTTGTCTACAGTGTCTCTCTTTATCCTCAGCCACTATTCTCTTCAGAAACCCTCTAATTTACCTTCTGTCTCAGCCATTCCATGGAAACGTTATTGTCAAAGTCATCAGTTATCTCCATATCACTTAATTCAATGTACTATTTTTCTTTTTTTTTAACTTTTATTTATTAAGTAATCTCTACCCCAATATGAGACTTGAACTCATGACCCCAAGATCAAGAGTTGCACGTTCTACTGGCTGAGCTGGCCAGGTGCCCCTCTATATATTATTTATAGTCCTCATATCACACCACCTCTTAGAATCATTCCACCAAGTTGACCACTCTCTCTTTTGAAACTCTTCCCTTTGGCTCTTATGATACCACACATTCCATTTTCCCTACCCTACTCTGACTCTTCTCTTTACTCTTTGCCAAACACTTCCCCTCCACCTCCCTGCAAATGTGGGAGGGCCCTGGGGCACTGTCCTACCCTCTCCTCATTCCACGTTCTGCCACCAGGCATTCCCATCCATGCCCCTGGGTTCAATTGCTACCTATACTCCCAACAACTTAAATTCTGTCTTCTACCCAGATTTCTCTTTTGAATTGTTCACTTGCTATCTCCATCTAGATGCCCCTCAAACACCTCAACTCAAGTGCACCTAAAACTGAACTCATGATTCATCCTCTTTCCCTAAAGCTTCTCTTCTAGAAGATGCTTCTACCACTTGCCTAGTTCCATGAACTATACACCTTGGACTCATTCTTGACCCCCATTCCTGCTTCTTTGATTAGATGAATGCTTTCAGTATAATAGAGTAAATATAAAGATGGGACCATAAAAATTACAAAATGGAACAAAGATAAGTGACATTTTATCTATCTGAGGAAGTCTACCAGTGTAGCTGCTGTTGGGTGAGTCAGATTGTAACCTTTAACACAAAAATTCAACAATCTGGTCCTCATTTCACCTTCTCTCTGGCTGGTTCTTTTCTTTGTCTTCCTGAGACCAGTGCCCTTTGGAGAACCCAGTTTAGCAGCTCTCACTTTCCCTGAGCTGTCAGTGGAGCAATAAATCCGTCCATTAGTTAATCTAGGTTCCCCGCTCCCCCCACTGCTGTGACCACAGGCCAAGTTAACATTTAGGTTTTTCTATAAGACAATGTAAATCCGGAAGCTTGGTTCCCTGTACAGGAAAAAGGTGGGCAGGGACCAAATCACAAGGAGTCTTGTATGACATATTAATTAAGAAGCACAGGACTTCACTTTGTAATTGCGGGAAGCCTCTGAAGTTTTTAAGTAGAAAATGGATACATGAGGAAACAAACTCATGCCTTTAGTTCTTTCTCTTGGACTCTCCTGCCCCCTGTTTATAGAAAATTGTGGAAATAGTCATCCACATAAAATCCTAGTGTAAGCTTCCCTACCTATACACCACAGCAGTGTATTGCATAATTTTTAGAAAAAAGGAATGTCATGTTATCAAAATTACATTCAGAAAATTACTATACTTCTAACATGTTTATCTGCCACCACTATAATAAGCAAGGTTTTTGCTTCCAAAACATTTGCTGAATATATTAGCTATGTCCTAAGGATACCAATCCTAGGTCAGAGTTGCTCCTTTTCCTATAATAGCAGGAGTAGGTAGTTTGTTGTCAGAAAGGGCTTTGCATAAGTCTATGCAAGAGTGGACCACTGTGCTGTGTCCTTGTCGCCTGGCACGGAGCAAAGCAAGCAGGGCTTTGTTCTCTCTCCAGACGGGCTATCAACCCCTAGACAAACCGAAGTCCTTTTATGCTGATATTTTAAAGCCTCAGCTGCTTCCCAACTCAGTGCTGGAGTTTGGCAAGATCCTGCTGTCTGTCGAAAAGCACCCTGATTCCAAATAAATATCTGTATGAAATGTGGAATGAATGTGCGCCACAGTGATATTTCTTTTTGTAGTGGAGGAGCTGGGGCTGAGCAGGCTTTGGAAGGCAATGGTAGGTGAGTGAGACCGCTGAACCTCCAGGTTTTATTCCAGAAACAACTCTTCCACAAAGCATTCCTCACGTGCCAGCAGCTTGGGCTCTGACAGCCCAGGCGGTTCCTTGGGCGGAGCTCCAGCCCAGTGTCTGTTCTCTGAATTCTCGCCCCTGGGTGTCTCCCAGGCCCACTGGTCCGCTGCCTCTTGCTCACATTTCGCAAAGACCTTCTTTAACTCTCTTTTTTGGGGGTCAGTCCGGAGTGGGCGTCGGTTTACATTTACATTTCCTTGCCGTCATGTCCTTGAGTCCTCCAGAGTTAAGGGTATTTGTATAGAATTACTGGCTTATAAAGATAATCCTCAAAAAAAAAAAGATAATTCTCTTATATATATATGAGAGAATTTTATATATTACATATATAACATATAAAATTCTTATTGGGGTTATTAGCCATCTCCCTTTTGAGTCCATTTACCAGTTAAAAAAAAAAAAAGTCCCCTATGTTATGAACCATACTACTATACCTATGTGGGTCTGTTTCTTTCTTTCTTTTTTTTTTTAATTTCTTTTCAGTGTAACAGAATTCATTGTTTTTGCACCACACCCAGTGCTCCATGCAATATGTGCCCTCTCTAATACCCACCACCTGGTTCCCCCAACCTCCCACCCACTGTCCCTTCAAAACCCTCAGATTGTTTTTCAGAGTCCATAGTCTCTCATGGTTCACCTCCCCTTGCAGTTTCCCTCAACTCCCTTCTCCTCTCCATCTCCCCTTGTCCTCCAAGCTATCTGTTATGCTCCACAAATAAGTGAAACCATATGATAATTGACTCTCTCTGCTTGACTTATTTCACTCAGCATAATCTCTTCCAGTCCCGTCCATGTTGCTACAAAAGTTGGGTATTCATCCTTTCTGATGGAGGCATAATACTCCATAGTGTATATGGACCACATCTTCCTTATCCATTCGTCCGTTGAAGGGCATCTTGGTTCTTTCCACAGTTTGGCGACCGTGGCCATTGCTGCTATAAACATTGGGGTACAGATGGCCCTTCTTTTCACTACACCTGTATCTTTGGGGTAAATACCCAGTAGTGCAATGGCAGGGTCATAGGGAAGCTCTAGTTTTAATTTCTTGAGAAATCTGCACACTGTTTTCCAAAATAGCTGCACCAACTTGCATTCCCACCAACAGTGTAAGAGGGTTCTGTGGGTCTGTTTCTAAGCTGTTTGGTCTCATTGTTCTGTTGGTCTACTTCCAAGGCAATACTTTATTGTTGTTGTTGTTGTTTAAGATTTATTTATGTATTTATTTGAGAGTGAGAGTGAGAACCAAAGTGAGAGAGAGAGAGGGAACATGAGAACAAGGAGATGGGGAGAGGGAAAGAGAATCCTCAAGCAGACACCCCGCTGAGGGCAGAGCCAGAGGTTACCATATTAACAAAATAAGGGAGAGAATAAGAACGGTAATAAATACTATCCCAGGACCTTGAGATCATAACCTGAGC